GAGCTCCATGACAGTCGCCTGATCCAGCAAGCAGGGCTCAGCCTCCCTGGCCCACCCCTCACAGCCCCAGTCACCTCCCGTCACGTCCCCCCGGCTCTGGTTCTGCTCACTCCCTGACGAGGCGAGCTCCTGACTTTCCTCCGACCCTCACTCTGCCCTCGCAGGTGCACATGGTTGACCCCCTTCCTCTGCCCACCCTGGACACCTGGCCCTTCGTCCCCACCTCAGCCCTCTGCTCCATGGGTGTCTCGCCTGCCTCCCGCCCCTTCCTTTAGCCAACATGTACAGACCAGCATGTCCCAGGTCTCAGTCTTTATGCTGATCTCTCTCTCGGATGCTAGTCTCAGTCCATACAGCTAGTCTGTAGGACTCTCAAGGTCAATATGCCCAAGGTCATTGCCTTTTGCCTCCAAACCTGCCTGGATTGTATCTGGACTGGCGTCACTGTCCACTCACTTGGGTGCTTAAGCCAGACACGAGTCAGCCTTGTTTCTCCATCCCTCCTCCCCACCTGTGCCAGGCTCGAGGGGCTCCCTGTCCTCTCAAGCCCACTTCCCACCTCCCAGCACATGGCTGTTGAGGCAGGCGTTTGCAGCGTGGGTGTGCCCTACAGCTCACCAGCCTTGTGTGTGCTGCCTGCTTGTGTGATTTCGTGAATGCTCACAGTGCCCTCCGCAAATATCTGAACTGGCCGTCCTGTCTTCATCTCTCCTGGCTCACATCCTCTGTCCCACTGCCAGCGGGGCCTTTGCAGCAGCTCATCAGGCACCTCTCCACTGCTCTTGGGATAAAATCCATTCCTCACCCCTTCTCTGGCACTTGCCCACTTCTGGTCCCCTGTGGAACCCCCACAGCTGCCCTAGGGCTCCTGCAGCTTTGCACGGGTGCTTCCTGGGCCCAACCCACCTCTTGCATCTGGCTCATGTTCCAGACCCTTTAAGACTCAGTTCAGGAGTCACAGTCCAGAGCCAGATCAGAGAACAAGCTCTGAAGGGTGTGTCCCCCAGCCTCCTGCTTCCTATGTCCTTTGGAGACCCCCTTCTTAACTCCAGGCAGCACTCCTCTCATGGCATTGTAGTGAAGTGTTTTCCTGTCTGTTTCCCAACCAGACCATAAGCTCCCTGAAGATGGGGACTGTGCCTTACTGACCTTGAGTCCTCTTACCCAGCACGTCGCCTAGCCCAGGAGTCAGCATACTGCAGTCCATGAGCCAGATCTGGCCCACCACCAGTTATTACAAGTAAAGTTTTATGGGAACAAAGTTATATCCATTTGTTGTCTTTGGCTGCTTTTGGGCTACCCCTGTGGAGTTGAGTAGTTGTAAAGGACACTTAGCTCCTGCAGAGCTGAAAGTATTTACTGTTTGGTCCTTTATAGACCCATGGTCTGGCCCAGACTAATTGCACAGTAAGGCTCTCAGTAATGACCATGTATTTGTGGAGCTTTTTCTATGTGCCAGGACCGTGTTACGCTCCAAATGCATCATTGCATTTAAGCCTCATGGTGGCCCTGTGAGGTACAGCAGACACTGTTAGTTCCTCTAATTTTTTGAGATGAGAAAATGAAAGATTAATTAATAACTTGCCCCATGTCACGGTTGCTTAGCAGGTGGACCTGGGGTAGGAATGTAACTGGTCTCCAGGACCTTGACCACCTGCCAGTGATTGAACATGAGCCCCAGCCCTCACAAGGAAGGAGGAGATAAAGGGAAGCGGGACAGAGAAAAGGGATGTGGGGGAGTGGTGAAGTACAGGTGCTCGTGGAGGGGCACAGTGACGGGCTGCCACTGCCACCTGGGGACGGAGGAAGGGTCCCGGCCTTCGGCACCTCATGTCAGGACTAAGACATATTGTAAGCGGGGAATGTTAACATTCAGGGAACCTGCTGAGGAAACCTTGAACCCAGGGAGATCTTCTGTTCCCACTTGGGACTTTGCGTCTCTCTTTGTTTCTTAATAACTTCTAAGGAATTGTGATGAGATCCGGTGCACTAAGAGGTTGAGCAGGACAGACCTGACCTGGTTTGGTTTAAGATTCAGTTCCCCACGCTCCTCAAATCAGACAAAGTTTAAAAACACGCAGGTCTTCTGGGAAGCTTGAGGGGTTTCTGTGAAGCTGGAGGTACAGGTAGGGTTTAGTGAGGGGTGATCTTTGCTGAGTGAGCAGAAGGCCTGCCCACCCTGAGTCAAATGACCCGGAACCTCCCTCCTCAGGACACCCCCTGGCCAGCTGCTGCTGCTGTGGACACTCGCGGAGCTGTGCAGTGTGATCCCGAGCCCACAGGGGGCGCCGTTTCTCTCTCCGATTCCACATCTCCTCTGGTGTTTGGTGCTCTCAGGATCAGGAGGGAGCCGTGGAAACGAGCTTTTGTCTGTTCATGTGGTGACGCTCAGTGGCTGAGTGCTGGGTTGAACAGTGTTACACAGGGCTGTGAATGATGGTGACAGTGGCAGCTGGCGAGTTTATCTGTCTCAGGGCTGTGCATGGAGTACTTCCCCCACGTCACCTAACCCCCACGTTACACTGTTTTCGTGCCCATCTTGGAAAACAGGAGTCCACAGTTGACAGGTCCCATGCTAGAGTACGTGGCAGACCTGGAAACCAGGGCCCCGTTAGCCCACATGCCTAATCGCTGCTCCAAGTTAAGGTGGCCTATTAGAAGTGGTGCTCTCAACGGTGTTAGAACACCAAGGTCAAGCGTTCAGATCTCTGCGCTGGCCAGCCGCCAGAAAAAAGGTGGAGCTCTTGAGCCTCTTGGGCACCAGCCCTCAGGCCTGTCCTGTGACTTCACAGATGTGGCCCCTCAGCTGTTTGCTGGGCTGGGTCGGGCCTTTAAATAGCCTCCTGGTTTGGTTAGGGTCAGGGTCGTGGTGGGGTGAGCTGGCCTTGGGCAGCGGCCCAGTGGTGTGGACTTGGCCGCTCGTTCCCCTGTGCCAGCTGGCTGGCGGATTCCTTGGCTTGCTTTAGGAGCTTAGGAACAGCTTCTTCCAGTCTGGATCCTCACTTCTGAGGTGCTGGGGTGTGTGAGGCAAGCTGAGATATTTCTGTTGCCTAATAAGTAGTGAAGATTGAAACTGCCAGGAAATTGAGGCAAATTTGAGTAGTAGTTAGAAATCATCCCATTCCACGCTGTCTTCTGCTCCTGGGCACCTTTGTTTATCTCTGCCTGTTGGAAGTCTCCGAGTCCTTCAAGGCTCCCCTCACCTGCCACCTCCAATCCCCCCTCATGCGTGATTTGGCCAGCGGGGGTTATCCAGCACTTACATGAGAGGCTCATGAGAGCAGAAGGTGAACAGTCCTGCCCCAGGGGCTTCCCAGTCTCGGGGAGGAGGACAGGCCAGCCCCTCCGAGTGGGCCGAGGGAACGCTGGGAGCCCAAATCCCTGACTCGCCAGGTGGGACAGAATGGATTCCAAGCACTTCTCAGAGGGGCAGCTAGGCTGGGTCTTGAAGGCTGAGTAGGAGTTGGTTGTGAGGATGAGGGGCAGCCTGTGCTGTGGTTGCTGAGGGACAGGGAGTAGTGGCGCTGGGAGTGCTGGGGAGTAGACCCTGCTGGAAGGTGGGTGAGGACCATGGGGGCAGCGACCAGAGAGGGAAGCTGGGCCTTCTGCCCGCTTGGAACCCTCAGTGTGCTCTGGCATTTGTCGTAGTAGCAGTCTGGGCCTCTCTTAACTCACATGAGCCCCTCGAGGATGGGTCTTTGGGGAGCTGAGGGCAGTGGAGAGAACACAGGGCCTGGACCCCTCTGGCCCAAGTTCAATCCCTGGCTTTGCTCCTCGCCTCGCCAGCTTTGAGACTTTGGGCTCATTCCCTAACTTACCTGAGTCAGTCCTTCATCTGTAGGAGGGGACTGTCCCCACCTCCCCGAAGGCTGCTGTGAGTAGTGAGGCAGAGCCATAGATGTTTAGTGCAGGGCCGGCCACAAACTGGATGTGGTCTCTGCTGGGGACGGGCAGGGAGAGGGCACGCAGGTGAGTCCAGAGTCTTAATGACCAGGCCCTTCAGCAGCTGCCAGGCTTTGATCAAAACTGTGTCCACTGACCAGAAAGCCTGTGGTTTTCCCTCTTCTAAGAACCTTGGCTTCTGGCCTGTATAGGAGAACGAGCACGTCGTGGATAAGCAGAAATCCTGGCCCAGCTCCCAGTTGGTGACCGTGAGTCCCTGCCCACCGAAAGATGCAGACAGATCCCCGTGTATGCTTTCGTAAACTGTGAAGGCATTTGGGGGGACATCTAGTTGCCCCAGGGGCACCAAGTGGTGCTGGGAAGGGCTCGGGGGAGAAGAGAAGCCAAGGGGGCTCTTACTGGAAGCTGCAAGGTGCGGTGCACAGCTGGGCCTCCCTTGAGTGTGAAGCCTCAAGTGCCGGGCTGCCCGCAGCGAGGGCAGAGACCAGCAGATCCCCCACTGGTACAGATTTGCGGGGTGCATATTTGTTTAGTTTGTTATGTGACAACTTAACTGTCTTAAAGACTCCCCATCTCCAGGAAACTGCCAAGAACTTTTGTTTTTCCAGGAGCATGTGTGTTAAATACTCAAGTAGGAGCTGCGTGTTGAATGAAAGCTTGTCTGAATAGCCATTCTTCCCAGGACCCTGATCAGTGGAAGGAGAGCTGAATTGAGAGGCCTGGGCTCCTGGCCTCCTCTCTTCCTCATGAAGGGAACGGACTCAGAGAAGTCTCTTACCTGTCACAGGGTGCACTTGTCCCTTCAAATGAGGTTGTAAATGTCAAGGCTTAGCTCCATGCCAGCCTCGAGCAGACATTGAGGAAGTGTTGCCTTCCCAAATTTAAATATCTTCTTGATTCATGGATTTTTTTCTTTTACTGGAGAAAGCCCATTTGTCCTTGCCCAATGAGAAAAAGTAAAGACAATAAAAAGTAGAGAGAGAATGTCCTGCCATAGGCTTCTCCCCCGACTATTTGGATCCGGATTCCTGAAAGGGCTTTGGTTTTAGACTTCTGACGTTTATCTGATGTTTCTCATGTATGTTTTTGCTAACCAGGAGCTGAGAGAAGATAATATCATTTTGATTGAAACCAAAGCCATGCTGGAGGAACAGCTGACTGCCGCCCGGGCCCGGGGCGATAAAGTCCACGAGCTGGAGAAGGAGAACCTGCAGCTGAAATCTAAACTTCACGACCTGGAATTGGTACTGCAGGCGGTGGCGTTAGCACATTTAACACGCATTGGGGCAGTTTCAGGTTTATGCCGTGCCCGTCTCCGATATGTTAGCTACTGGTTTGCTACTGGTGCTGCTACTAGTGACTTGTGCACTGCAAAGAGTGGTTGCTGAGACCAGTGGGCTTGAGTGGGCACCACTTAGTGCCCACAGAACAAATAGCACTTGACTTCTGTATTGCTTTCTGCAAGGATGAGTGTATACATGTGTCTTTTGCAAGCTGGGTCTTTGCTGGTGTTTTGGTGTGGGTTGAGCTGTGATTCGTTCGTCTCTTTATAGCTCTTGAGGGCTGTTAGCCTAATCATAGAGCCACAAAGCTGCCCACCGCCATAGTAGTAAAGCCCTGTGTAGTATGTCACTTTGTGTTTGTCTTAATTTTATTTATTTATTTGCTGGCCAGCACAGGGAATAAACCTGGGACCTTGGTGTTATCAGCACCACACTCTAACTCTCTGAGCTAACTGGCCAGCCGGTACATCACTATGTTCAGACAACGTTCAGTTAGAGACCTTGGGTCTCTCTTCAGAACCTAGGTAGCCAGGTCAGGGTATCTTTTTATGCCTGTAACTCTCCCAACGGGGCCCTGTGTTGAAATCGTTTACGTGCAGCGTTGTGTATTTGGAAGTGAGCGGGTGCTTGGAGTCCCTTCATCCACAGCGAATCGTGGTAGATGCACGGAAGCCGGGTTGGTCCGGAGGGTCCCCAGCTGCATCCTCACTCCCTCCTCTTCCTGCCCTAGGACCGGGACACAGACAAGAAACGAATCGAGGAGCTGCTGGAAGAAAACATGGTCCTCGAGATTGCACAGAAGCAGAGCATGAACGAATCCGCCCACCTTGGCTGGGAGTTGGAGCAGCTGTCCAAGAATGCAGACCTGTCTGACGGTAGGGAGCACCTGGTGCCTGGGAGCCGGCCTGGTTGCTCGGCCTCCTCATCCGGGGGCTGAACCCTTGGCTCTGAATCTTCCACGTCAGCCCATCCATTCACCCCCAGTAAATATGATTTTCTTCATGTGCCATTTGGAACTATTTCATTACAGTTTTCCCCAAGGAAAACATGAGAGGGCCTGGCAGCCTTGATGTCAGGACGTGAAATACAAATTAAGTGTTGCCAGGTTCCCCAGTTCCCATATGGACACTCCCAGGAGCATCCAGATCACAGCACGCTGACACCCAGAAGACACCTTAGGCCTGTCTGCATGGTTGAAAGCTCTGGATGGCAGGAGCTGTCCCCAGAGGTTGCTAATCCCCACCATAAACATCCTTTGTTCATTTGCATAATTGGGCAAGATGGATGCCGTCTGCTGTCTGTCTCCTGTGTGGGGGGTGCTGCTCAGGAGACCCAGGCTCTTGGTTGATCTGCCAGGCCCCTTCCTCTTGCTACTGGGCTTGCACTGCTGCCCAGTGCCCCGAGACGAGGTGTGGGTCCCGGACAGGGTGGGTGAGGCAGCAGTCAGCGCTTGAGCAGGAAATCACTCTGGCAAACAATAAGCCAGTTCCTGTGTTCCAAAATAGCACAGGTTCACCATTCCCAGGCACCTGATAATGCAAGTTAATATTTACTTAGAACTTTCCAGAGTATGATAGGGCCTTTGGCTTGTTTGGGGGGTGGCTTTTTAAAATTCCAATGAACATTCCTAAACATATTGGAAAGGTTAGGGAAAGCAGCTGACTATTTCTTCTCTTCGAGGGGTACTATCATTTTCAAACCTGAAATGTTAATTAAACCCTTAATATGTGTGAACAGTTAGCTCAGTCTGTGCTTTGGTGCCTGTGCTGGGCCCTAAGGGTTGCACGAGGTGGGATCTTGCATATTCCCTGCCTCGGGAAGCCCAAGTTCACAGTGGGGGGTGGGGGAGGGGACGGACTACTACCCCCTGGTGGAGCAGAGAGGTGGTGCAGGCTGCTCGAGGCTAGCTGATGAGTGTTTCTGAGACTCAGACCAGGGTAGCTGGTGTGGGTGTGAGGCTTCACCGATTCAGACTACTCAGTATAATTTGTCAGCTCTTTAAGGTCAGCGACCATGCTTTATTCCTAGTGTTCTCATCTCCTGGTGCCTCACTAGGAGTTCATACATGTTGGTTGAAGCCTGAATGTAATTTGAGTGGGTGGTCTAGTAGTTTCTTGAGTCAGAGAGACCTGGCTTGAAGTCCTGGCTCCTCCACTGGTTAGCTGGGTGACCTAGGGCAAGTAGTTGACCTCGTTAAACTTCAGTTTCCTTGTCTGCACTATGGGGCAATGAACCTGCCTCACAGGATCACTGTGAGTATAAATGAGATGAGACAGGGAGGTGTCAGCCCCAAGCCTGGCTACGGTGAGTGTCCAGGAGAGGGCAGCTGTTCTTATTACATTGTCCCATCAAAACATATTCAATTACTTTGGTTACTGCAGGTGCCGGTGAGCAGCTCAGTAAAGAACCAGTGACTACTTGAGTAATAAACATGTTGCATCCGTGTAATAGTCTTGGAAGCACTGACTTTTGTTGGACCAGGAATGAGGCTTATAGTCATTTCCATTGTAGAACCTTAAAAATTATTCTTCATGGGTACAGAGCTTGGGAAGATGAAGAGGAGATGGAGATGGCGATGGTTGCAGAACAGTGCAAATGTGCTTAATGCCACAAAACTCAAAAATGGTTAAAATGGTAAATTTTATGTATATTTCACCACAATCAAAAAAAGTTCTTTTTTTTAAGGAACACTACAAAGGTACTATCCAGGTGATCACAAGTTCTGAATTAGTGGAGTTTTATTTCAGGTTAGGTGTTTTCGATTTGGTTTGTCTCATTTGTAGCACAGTCTGGACAGAGCCCTCCAAGTGTCCTTGTGTGTTTGAGAGCATGTGTGTTTATGTGTGTGTCGATGCTGAGGTTGGCTTGGGGCCACGACACACCGTCCCCACCACTGCTGCCTTGCCTGTGGTTGCTGTGGGTCTTTAGGACATTCTGGCCTGTTGGGTCTGTA